GGTATCACATGCCAGCTCATTAACATTCTGGTTTCATTATCAGAGCTGTAATTCTAAATAATGATACTGCCATTGTAATATCTAATTGTATTGTGTCATGTTGGGTTTGGACTGTTATATAAAGCATTATATAGATCTGAAAGCATTATGTAAAGAAACACTACATTCTTTCTGCTACTCTCAGTTTTGAGATGTTGCATTTCTATACTAATTTTCTTAAGAGGAATGTAGAGCATTTTTATAGTATTTAACCCCATTGGTCATTATGCCATTCTCTTGACCTTAGAAGATAGTTAATGTCTCCACTTTGTAGGTGGAACAGGTGGAGTGGGAAAAATTAAGTGACAAGGTCACATGATAAATAATGGAGACCAAAACTGGGATCTCCTACACTTCATTTCATACCTTCCTGTGCTTAGTGTGGAAGTTAAACACACTGAGCTGAAGAAGCCTGAAGTTGAAGAAGATGAGGCTACTTCTGATAGAAATACTTTTACTGATGAACGTAAGAGGACCATTTATGTTCTGGTTGGGCAATGCCAACATATTAGATTAATGAATAAAAGAGAAAAATGTTTCCCAAGAGAATCAAAATCAAATTAATAGCCATTGGAGAGAAAATAACTTTTCATGGGAAGTTATAAAATTATGTAATTACTTCATTTGATTTGAAAGATGGAAGATTATACAGAGCTCAAAGGAGTTTTAAAAGTTTTCAACATATGATAGCAGTTGGCTTCTGTACAAGGGCTGGAGAGCTTAACAACATTTTTTCAACTTGCTGTATTATATCAAAATTAAATACATGTTTAATAGAAGTTGTTTTTATACTATTTTTTATTATCAGAGTTTACTAAAGATACATTTGTATATTTGAGGTTAGCTGCTTTATAGTTTAGAATGGTGACTTCTTTATCAACTAGTAGAGGACTATAAGTTTCTGAATAATTAACAGTTAAATTTAAAAACGAGAAAATATTACTTTTAAAATTCAAATCAGTCTCCATAGGTTTGTGAATTATGTAATGCTTTGGAACTAATCCATTTATTTTCTTTTCAAAAAACAAGTTTATGCAGTGCAGGTTTAGCAAATTGCCCACATAGTCTGTGCAATTCTCATTAAGGAAGATTTGGGCTATTCATCTGTCTTCAGTCTTTACCTAGGTTCCAAATACTATTCTGATGCCTAACCAGTTAAAAGAATAAAAATGCCTAGCTTGGTTCTTGAAGGGCCTCTACCTTCAATTATCACATATAGAAAGCTTGAGAGGGCAACATACAATGATGTAAAGGATATAGGATTTCCAGCATCCTTTCCTACAAACACTTCTGTTATTAGCAAGATGATTTCACTGTGTTCTTAAAGCTTTATGGTCATATGTGCATGACCTTCAATATCAATCCAGAAGGAAGAGAGAAAGAGACTGATCACAGATGCCTTAGGAACCCCAGCCTCTGCTGGCCTGAGACCGGAAGGACTAGCTGTTGCCCTTCTGTCACTACTGACCACTCTGATCAGGATCACAATAAAAGGTCATGGATGGGGTGGGAGAAAAGGAGAAAAATCTTCAAAATCATACAAAAGGCCAGACTTACTGGTCTGATGGAGATAAGTGGAGCCCCCGAAACTGTGGCTCTTTGATATCCTTCAAACCTGGCACTGAGTCCACCCCCCAAAGACCACCTTTCAGCCAAACAAAGTATAGACCTATGTTCTGGTTACCTGGTGCCGTGAATGGAATGGCTCAAACAAATAGGAGTTTATTCTCTTACAGTTTTAGAGGCTTTAAGTCCAAGTTGAAAGTGCCAGGCTCTATGGGCCAGGTGAAAGCCCCTCAACCTTGGGCTTCAGCTCTGTCTC